AATGGTTTATGTAAAAGGTTGATGAATGGAAAAATCGAGAGAGAGAGAGAGAGAGAGAGAGAGAGAGAGAGAGACGGTNGAGAGAAGAGAGAAGAGAGAAGAGAGAAGAGAGAAGAGAGAAGAGAGAGAGAGAGAGAGAGAGAGAGAGAGAGAGAGAGAGAGAGAGTGATCGGTTTTTTCCATGAGCTCGTAAAAAGCCACGGTTTTTGCCCAAAAATTTGGAATAACAGGAAAACGGTTGAGAAATCGGCCAACGTGGAAGCTGACCAATTGAAACCTTATTATAATTTTCTATCTTTGCAGAGCCCACTCGAATGACGATTTCCTGGTTCCACAACTAAATCTGATGTTTTCGTAAAAAGTGCAAAAATTCCGCATTTTTGAATTTACTGACGAATGACTGAAGCTAGGAAAACATTAAAGAATTGTTCAGCGCAAAACCGTCTAAAAAATGAGACAGCGCAGGTATGTGATTTAAAAGGCTGAGAAAATATACATTTCCAAATTTGGACATTTTTTCTTTCAAAAACCAGGTTGTCGGTTTTTTATACTATATATCTGAACATAAAATTCAGATAAAAAATGCCTTCTAACGGTGAAATTAAATCTAAAATCCTTTATTTCCATTCGTGGAAACAACCACTGCTCACATCAAATTTCAGTTAAACGAGGCTGCATCGTAATCAGAAACTATTTGCATATATACCAAGTGAAAGTTTACGAAACTTAAACAACAGTCGAGCTCCACTGAGTCCAACCCGCTGAGGTGTGTTCTATAGTACAAAAGGGAACCAAGTCGTTGAAGTAAGCAAGACGCTCCGAACTGAGATACATCTGAGAAAATCTCCGTGAAGATTTTAGAAAAAACAATTCATTTGATAGAATTGAATAACTTTGATAGTAAAGAACGCGGTGTTTTTAGTATTATAATTCATAAAAGCAAAAAAGAAGAGGATACTCATTAGCATTGGAGAAACTGTTATTGCTGTAATTGGAAAACATAATAATGTTCATACTTATTTAACTTTTCACGATGGCTTTTACGAAACATGATACTAAAATTTTCAAAATTGGCCGAACGCTAAATTAAATTAGCAAATGATTTTCTGTGGGATAAACACTTTGGAAGCTAATGCTAAAATATTCATAAATGCCGTATATAACGTTATAGAGATTAAACGGTGGGAGAGTATTGAATACAAATTAACCACGAATAAGGCAGACAGACTAAAAGTATTTAATGAGCAAAGTTTTTCACATTTCCAGTTATACATAAATTTAAAGAAAAGCGCGAGTGGACACCGTGTTGGAAAGGGGTTAACCCCCAAAGAGGAAACAGTTATCCCGCAGGACTACAGAAATGATGGAGAAATTCTTCTCAGAGAAAGTTTTCCCGAGGGGAACTTAAGAGTCTGACACGAACCGTTTAGGAACTATCGGGTTTCCCGAATTTTATAGCCAAATGAATATTTAAAATTATTTATTTCTGTATTTTCATTTTTATTTCCATCGAAATTAATATATCAGTATTTCCGTAATAATAATACGAAAATAGGTATTTTACTAAAATCATTTGAATTATAAACTTTGGATTATGACGACTATTCCAAAACGGCTCCGATCCGAATAAAAAAAGGTTTGTTCACTAGTTAATCATATACGAGCAACCCCATTACTTCAGTGTTAAACAATGTACAACCGATCGGGTGAAGATTGCTCAACACCTGTTTCCTCGGCCTTAAAAAATTGCTTGTCATTTTAAAGCTTGTGACGCCAAAGAAACCGTTTTCAATTTAGTCTGATCCATACCTTTGTTTTTCCGTATCTAGTGACGTGCGATACGAGAAAATATTCGATACAAGTAATCGTTACTGGTATCGAAAAAAATATTCGATACTACTTAAGTATCGACAGACATTATCCGATACTATCGAGTACTTACTCATATGAATAGCTTTTTAGTTTATTCATAAATGATCAACTTACTATTGTGGACATTGTTTAAAATACTCTCATGCGTTAAAATAATCAAGAAATTGCAGTTTTTTAATATTATTTATTTTTTTAATTTAATTTATTTTTTTAATTTAATTTAATTTTTTATGTAAGTAATTTTTCATACAGTGGGTACATAGGTAAGAACAAGGAAAAGCTGCCAAGACATTTCAATTTTATCGTTGTCGACTTTTGAGAAAATTTATCAACGGGTATTTGGTTTCCAAATGTTTGAAAAGATAAAACGTATTCCGTCTGTAATTCCTCAGAGTTTACAAGATACCGACAATTTAGTTTTTTTAGTAAAATAACCTCTTGCCTTAATTTTGGGATGTGACATGGTTAGGTATCTACCTACCTACGAGATGGAAGGCGAACACATTTTAGGGACTTGAAGACAAAAACATTTTATAAGAAATTACTGAAATTGAAAGTGCGAAGCGGGAAAGAATTATGAATTACCAGATTTATCATCAGAGTTACCAACCACCAATTAAAATTCTAGATTAACTTTGTTGACATATGCCGCTAGTAGGCGCTCTTAACAGTAACTAGTCAATTCCCAGTTTGATGAGAGGTAAGTTTCGAACGGTAAATAACAATTCAATATTACTTGAACACTCGACCAAAAATCTATTTGAGCATATTTTCCGATACTACAAAAAGTATTCCATACCAAAGTATTCGGTATCGAAAGAAAATACTCGATAATTTACTCATATCGATTGGTATCGCTCGTTACTATCCGTATCATAATATCATGCACCATTTTGTAAAAAATATGTACATAACATTATAAAATTATAAAACTTTACGTTAATTCTAAACCCAGATGTCCAAGGCCAAATTGGTATAAAAAAATTAAAAATAAAACATTTTCTTCATTAACATTTTTTACTTAATTTTTTTGTTATAAACGAAGCTGTGGTTAGTTCATCACTAACGATGGCGGGAAGACAAGACATATTAATTAAAAACAAGCAAGATTGCAATCTTCTACTAATCCTAACAGCCTTCTGCCTTTGGTATTTAAATTCTTCGAAAGACCTTAAAATCATTCCTCCTCGGTAACCTGTTCCTCAACATTCCACATTCCAATATGAATTCAAAGTGAAAATCATTTCCTCAATTCTAGAGGGTATAATTTGAACCATTTCCTGGGAGACGCCTAGGATTTTGAAAGGGTTTGCATCAGGCAAAAACTACGCAAGCTTTTAGGTCGATTGTGACCGTCAAAACACAACTACCTCAGAATAACTCAATCCAAGACAATCACTTCACACATACGGAATAAAATTGTGGAATTCCGCCAAGCCATCGAATATCCATCCCACCCGATCTTTCTAATTAAAGTCCTTCGATAACCTCATTATCCAACTATTTCAACATTCCATTTGCCAACGAACCTTTCCGACCAAGCTTACAAAGTTCTACATGTACATTTCCATATTTTCATTCCAAACCCTATTACCCAAGGTCACTACCATTTCCTATCGAAATCCCATACGTCACCTTGCACGATGTTTCTGCAACGTAGATGTTTCTGTAATACTGTGCAGGCCAAAATGCCAGTGTTATTACCGGGAGACTTTACGCGAAAATCTGTAATTTGTACAAATAAATCATTATTTTAATAAAAGACAAGACAGACAAGTAAATTTATCAGCGTCAATCAGTTAAGCAAGAGTTCCTTTCCTCTCGCAGACCAACCAATACCACCAAAAACTCTTGATTATTTTAAACCAAATTTTATATGTCAACTGGAAGTATCTTTGGAATTTGTTTACCTACATGACTATCCAGAACCAGCAATTCCATAAAAATTGCTTATTTTGCCTACGACTTGGCAATAACATCAAGACATGAAGTACATTGTATTATAACATCAAACTTGTACGCTGGTAAATCCTGCTATGGTCAACTCGCCTAAATCAAGTCTTGTGTAAGATAAAAATAAATATAATTCCTGCGATTCTTTAATTATGTGTTATTTTTCATGTAGTTTCATAACCACTGCAAAGCACCGCTATCGTTTGTGCACTAAACAAAAACTTGAACGTACTCTCTAACACACCTCTTATTGAGTACTGTTGTGTAAGTAAAAAAAATGTTATACCAAATGTTGATTTCACACGTACGGAAGTATGGATGTTCTATCTAGGGTTACTCTTTTAGAGTAGAAAATACAAATTACGCAAAATAACACAATGGGACAAATAGTAAGAGCACTTTGTCCCGTCCAACGTAAGTAGAAAACTGACAACCCCCGATAACCTAAAGACTACAGCCTGCTCAAAAAAAAAAAAAATAAATAAATAAATTAAAAAAAATAAAGTGTTCACCTTGAACAAGGAAATTCTGGGACTTTATAATTAATTAGATGGACAATTTAGTCATTAGAATTTTAACTGATAGCACGTATCACATTATATTTTTCATGTTTCACAAAAACTTCATAAAACACATTTGATATTGTAGACGAAACGCCCCCAGCAGTTAGCCACTCAATATTCGCAATCCTCAAACCGTTCGAGTTGTTTGAAAAACTAAATGAATGAAGCACTTACGTTATTTAAAATGTCAAAAGCACACCAGACGTGTTCGATGCCCGAAAGTTGAGATAATTTCCTCCACATACGAGTTTATCCGTAACGTTCTTAGACGAGATTTTATCGATGCACTTCCAAATTTTCAGAATTGAGCTAGAGTTAATAGGAGAACTTGGTTATCAGAAAATATCGTCACTGATAAACTTACGTCCAGCATAAATTGCCCATAGCTACAACGCCTATCTGTTTTTATCAATTATTAATGAAGCACGATGTTATCTACGTTTAAAGTTTTGCCTAAAAAGAGTAAAGTAAAATTATCCTGAGAAAACCTTTTAAGATAATAAGTTGTCAAACTTCTCCATAGAATCCATTCCAAATTATAATTTTCCTATAACTTATGAAATAATATATTAGAATTGTTTCAGAACATTTTTTAAAAAAGTTTCTTTTCAGGCGCTAAATACGAGCCCGAGCTGCAAAACAACGCGTACAAAGTATTCATGAAACTGACGATACACTCAGTGACTCCGTCCGACTTTGGCTCTTATAAATGCGTCTCCAAGAATTCACTAGGCGAGACCGACGGAACTATAAAATTGTACCGTAAGTAATAATAAACATTTATTAACTGTTTTAGCCTCTTAAGATATTAAGAGCCCGGAAAAGAAATTTGGGGCAATAAATAAAATACCATTTTCAACGGAAGTTGGTTTGAGGTTTGTCGGTCCTTAAATAATAATTAAAATCCATGTTTAATTTGGTATGAAGATATCGAGTATTACAAAAATTAATTTACTTTTTTATAAAAATCATTGAAAGTAAGTAAGTTTTTGGCACGATTCGTTATCTGAGGGTTGCAATTTTTTAGAAATAGGATTAATAATAATAAGTAATAATAATAAACAGCACAATAAAATAACGTGAATTGCACTTTGGCCAACAAAATATCCGTTGTAAATTAATTTACCCTGTTTATCATTTCTGCGTACGAATTCCTTCACAAGCACTTCAGTTTCTCTGAAATTGATACCCACCAACCTTATAAAGCCGCCCTTTGGCAACTTCCAAAAGCCAAGATATATTGTATGGGGATCGTGAACACATACCGACAAAGTTAATAAATTCAAATTTTATACAAAGCCCGTTAATGACATTGCACGAATTGTTCCCCGACGTAAACAACGAATTCAAACGAATATTGTTAAACAAACCAGGGGAAAGTTTGATTTTAAATTTTTAAAAAAGTTACATTACAAGGCCGGATTATGTTAAATTATAAAATTATTTTTTTCGTTTCTTTATGAATAAATTAAGAAAAATACATTGTCTTTGAATATAATTTTAGTGTATAATAAATATTAAACTGTTCACACAAATGCGTTGATAAAATATATATATTCATTTTGTAAAGTTTCAAAGTAAAGTATTCTGCCCAACTCTTACTCTTCTGAAATTCATTGAATTGTTCATGCAAAATAATTTACCATTAAGGAAAAGTCAAGAAATTAATTTTGTATATTTATTTCTGACCATAACCTGCAAAATCACTTTAAAAATAATTAATAAGTAAAATGTCGAATAGGTATTAATAAATATTAATTTAGTTAAGAACAGTGAATCGCTTTTTATTGGACCAATTCAATTCTAAGTCGTTAACTCGCGACCTGAATATTTCATCTATCAGAACACCAAGCCACGTCGGTCTTCCATTTTTATTTCCTTAGAAATTCATATATCAGCATTTCCGTAAAAATCATATGAAAGTAGGTATTTTATTGAAAACGTTTGAATACATAAACTTTGGATTGTGACGACTATTCCAAAACGGCATCGATCCGAATCACAAAAAGGTTTTTCATTATTTAATTATTTACGAACAAACGCCATTTTTTTTTTTTTTTTTTNCGGACCATGGACAATATGAACTTTTTTGTTCATTTTAGGGTGAAGAATCTACTGGAGAAGTTTGTAGCACGAGTAGCAATTCACCCTGTATATCATGCACCATTTTGTAAAAAATCTGTACGTAACTAATCTATAAGTAAGGTATTGGTAGAGGTAAAAAAGTCAGTGTGACGAGCGGGATTCAAACCCACGACCTTCGGCTAAATACACCGCTGCTCTACCACTTGAGCTGTCGTGACGACGATCCACTCGGAACCAACTTCCCATCTCAACCCACCTTTTGAATTTTCGCTTTTTTGCCATTTTTCAATTTTTTATCTCAACCAATACCTTACATAAAGATTAATTAATTAAAAAGAATTTATTTGATCAATCGGACCACGAAACCGAATCGATTATGTACATAACAAGAAAATTATAAAATTTTACGTTAGTTTTAAACCCAGATGTCTAACGTTACATTGTTTTGTTTTTTCATTACTTTATAAATAAATGCAGAAAAACAAAACCAAAATGTCTTTGACTATACTTTTAAAATGTGTAATATTAAACCGATCACACAAATTCGTTTATAAAACAATATATATTCATTTTGTACAGTTTCAAGGTATAGTATTCTGGCCAACTCTGTTTAAAACTCTTTTAAAATTCATTGAATTGTTCATGCGAAATAAATTACCGTAAAAACGTTAAGAAATTAATTTTGTATATTTATTTCTTAGCATAACATGCAAAATCAATTTAAATAAAATTAATCAGTAAAATTTCAAGTTGTTATTAATAAATATTAATTTAGATAATGAAAGGGAATCGCTTTTTATTGGGCCAACTCAATTCCAAGTGGTTAACTCGCGTCCTGAATACTTCATCTATTAGAACACAAATCCACGTCGGTCTTCGAGTAAAGTAAAACTTTTCTCATTAACAAGACAGTCACCTCCAACACTGGATAACGCCAAAGGGCCGCATTTTACACAATTCTTCGGTGAAACGGTTGAATTTCAGTTCCGACCTGGCTGAAAAGAAATTTTATTCCCTCTCGGGGCCTTCTTAATTACAATACTTGTTGCGATAACTCACTCAGGACTTGCTTGTTTGTTTCCAGGGATTCCGAGTCCATCTACAACTACCACGACCACTGTTACCACAGAGGAAGTGACCACGCCCTCCAAAGGTAAAATCATCATTCCTACAACCCCAGGTAGAGTACACACAATATTTGTTTAAATTATGTATATTAGATATTTATAAAAAACAAGTTTGTCATAATGCATTAGTTAAGTAATTCCCTGTATACGTAGATTATACGGGTTAATTTTTTCACATAATTTGCTTGTTTACGACGAGTATGAATTTATTTAAAAAATATTCAATTTGTAGGTTGGTCATTTCCGATCACTTTGGTATACCTATCCTTTGTCAAAATTGCGAGGAACACCGAAATGATTGGAAACAACCAAAATACACGTTCATCATCGTGCGCCGCAAGAGGAATTTTCTTTAAATTTGTCACCTAATAATAATAATAATAATAATGAAGAAGTAAATTTATTGAACTTTATACATTTTCGTTTTTACTTTTAAATTTACAAAAGACAATGGACATTAGACCGTCTGCCAGGTTGATGAATTTTTTAAATCAAATAATTGTACATATATCGAAAATAAAAACAGAAGGGAATAGTTTAAATTTGTCACATTTACAACAGCATTGATCATAATCTAATTTAATCTTCTACAACGTTTTTACAATTATTTGTGAATATATTTGTGTAAAACATATGTACCGAATTGTGTAAACTATTTGAGTTATAGCTTATCTTTCTATCCATTATTTATACATTACAGTCGGAAAACGTTTCCCCAATAATACAGATAAAATTTAACTATTTCGTCTTGTAAATCAATGAAACCGACATTGAACAGTATTCAACGAATATGTCAAAAACAGAATTGAGTTGTTTGTTGACTTTCTATCTGTGCGGATGTGAGATACGAGAATTCGTCTACCGCTATCAACAAGTGCAGACCATTTGCTAAAATTCAAAACTTTTACAAAAGCGTTTGTGATTTTACTCAGTCTAATTAAAATGGTGTTTCTAATTTCGCTCCTTCTCACTTTCTTTCCCATTAAAGTGCCGGGTCTGAGAGAAGTAGCGGAAAACATCTTGTTCACTAATTTATAACTATGTCGTTCAAGGAGAGTTCTAAAACTTGGCTAATGGCTGAAAACTCAAATCATGCGAACTTCGAATCAAACGGTTCAAATGCGGAAAGGAGGAAAAGGGTTTCTTATTAATTTTCTGTAAGTGTAGCTAAACTACTTGAGGCTAAACTGATAAAGATACTATGGACGAGGATTCTGAACCTCAAGAAACAACAAACAAACCTGTTCCTCTTTTTAAAAACACATGAAAACTGCCTCCTATTATAATCTAAAGCTATATAAAAAGAATGACCCAAGTGCTGAAACGTTTAAGGATTTCTTGGTGTGGCTTTTTTGTCAAATATAGAGGCAACAAATTAACATTTCTAGTTATATGAAAAGAAGATGATGTCACAATTCGCTTTGAAGTCAGCCAGAGTATCCATATCCCTAGACAGAATCAAATAACCAATGTTTCTTGTCACTTTCGGCAATTCCAATAAAATAAAATAAATGAGTGAAAATAACGAAGTTTTTAGTTGCATTGTTGCTCGCGAAAGGCACAAAAACTTTTTTGGACTGACCCAATGTAACAAGTGTCAAGTGTGCATTTAACTTATAGGCAAACATTGTTACCTGAATGCCTGAAATGTGTTGATTCACAATTGTCTAGTCATTGTAATGACGAAAACACCTGTGTAAACTGTGGTGAAGGTCACAGACACTCACAAAACACACAAACCAATCTGACTCCACAAGAATAGCACCACACTTTATGCCCTGAAGATGACCCGGTGACTATTGACACCTCCCACAAATAAGAATATTAATTATAATTGTAGCTCGCTCAACTAAAAGTAGAAGAAAATTAGGCATATCGTATTATAATTTAATCTATTAGTAAAGATTGTTCGGAAATCGTGAGATGCGGTCTGGTGTGATGTAGGTTTCAGAAAAACATTTTCTTTATCATGCCAACGTTTCGATCTTTATTGATATCATCTTCAGGGCTCAAAGTGTTTGTTTTCCGAGTAGATGTGTGGCACTCTCAACACGACAACCTAGAATGACTCATCTACGTGGCAAACAAACACTTTGAGACCTGAAGATGATCTCAATAAAGATCGAAACGTTGGCACGATAAAGAAAATGTTATTCTAAAACCTACGTCACACCAGAACGCATCTCACGATATTCCAATAATCATTGACTAACGGTCACTAAACACCACACAAAACTGTTAGTTAAGGTTTATTTTATTTTCTCTCCAATTGGCTCCAATTTTTTTCCCCAATTTAACTTAGTAAATAATGTCAGCTTAATATCAGAGAGTATCAGCTACAACCTGAAACCTCTCGTTAATTTTGTACGTTTGCATATATAAACAAATATTATGAGTGCAAGTAAGTATTATTATTATTTAAACAGAGTTGATCTATTAATGTAATTTCAAATAAATTGACTTTCGCCTCTATCTCTATCTATCTATTTATCTCTTCCTCTATCCTCCTACGTAATATCTTTCTATCTCTGCACTTTCTTTCTTTCTCACTTTCTCCCACCCTTAACACCCACAATATGTGTGTGCATTGCCGAGCTAAACGGCGCAACAGCTATACAATTCAACACAATCAATGTGCTTTGACGGTTTAGCCTATCGCAAGATTTTAAACGTGCAGTACTAATTAATGATATGTTCCCATTAAATTATAATAATTGAAATAATAAAATATTTTTAACTACGTTATTTAGGGAATTTGTGATACCATTAATTATTATAAATTATAATTATTTTTTAATTTATCTTTTTTAAGTTTTTTTTCAGATCATAAGTACTTATTTTTAGCCTATCTTATCAGTTATGATCATTATTTCGAGAAAAATTTATTAATTGTCTCTAGTTTATAAACATCCGATATAAAAAAAGGCTGTTAATACCAATTGTACATACTTACGTAGAATGTAAAATAATGAAATGCAGAATAAAATAATTTTTGTGTTATTTCAGTTATGAATATTTATTGAAGCATATCCATTCATTTGTTGGTTAATAATGAAATATTATAAAATATTTATAACTGAAGTCGTTTTTGCATTTTGGCCGAACCAATTTCAGTACATTAGTGAAAAAAAGTTCAGTGTCAGTTCAAACTGCGCCTTGCTTATCAGCCAATGATGTGAATATTCCAGTGGTTTAAAGCCAGCACAGGCTCGGCGGAAGGTGAATTATGTATTAAAACATTCACGACTATTTTTCTTTCTTTCCCAGTGGTTCCGGAAGTGAAATCAGAGCGGAAACGGCAAAAAGAGAAAAAGAAACTTGCACAAGTCAACGATATCCCGCCGTTGCCGGATATGAGAGGAGGGGACGCACCAAAGCCAGGTGAGATATAAAAGGAGAGAGCAAACCTCCAATTGAATAAATAGGTGACAACACAACAGGGTTAATTTAGAATTACCAATTATTTTAATTACCTTTCTTTCAATTACTAGAAATAATGGATTGGGTTTTGAGGAAATTAACGTTTGTTTTGTGAAAATAACAATTAATTTAAAGAAACTTGATTTTAATCAGTCTTTTATTTTGTTTNCTAATTTAACGATGTACTCTCGTCAAGTTCTAGGCAGGGAATCGCTATTAAAAAATACAGAATTAAATAAGTAGGTCTCTTGGGAGGGAGAAGGTGCTGACCACAATACTAGGAATGACACCTGCATCGAAGCGTTGTAAACAGATAATTCCACATTACTTATATATATATATATATATATGTAGGATGTTCACCGTCACTACGTCAACGGAGGCCCTACATGGCGGGAACTCTGTCTCTCCCCTCTATCTGGACCCCAGCTGACAGTTTTAGTTGTTACCACCACGCGGTCCTACGAACACGTTTCTTTTTACGCTAATGTATTTTAATGTTAACTAGTTATCCTTTTACTTTTGTTTATGTGTTCTTTACCAATAAACTTTAAATCTTTATCTTTTTATTTGTGGGAGACCTTTAATTCCCTACATATATATATATCTTATATCTTGGAAAAAGCTCCAAAGAGCATACAATAATAAATAAATTTTTGTATTATTTATTCTTAGTAGTACATAAACTTTGTTTTCTTTATAAAGTTATACATAGTTTTAAACGATAATAAACCCTTCGTATCAAATGTAGTAAAATGTATGCTTGTAAGGGGGAAATTCTGCCAAAGCACAATAAACGACGTTTCTTTCTTTCTTTATAATGTTCTATTGTTTGTTTTAAGCATGATAAAACCACTTAGTTTGATTTTAAATTCATCGCTCGTCAAAAAAAAAACTTTCTAATTAATCAAACAAAGGAATTAGGTAGTTTCAATTTTTTTCTTTTTGGGCGAAAAGGATTTCTCGAGTGAGGTCCGTAACTTATCATTCATGATGCCACACGCTTTAAAAATAAAGTAGAAAAAGGGCAAAAGGTCGAGTCGGATGGAGAACTTTCCCGCTTGAACATTTCCAATCAAACTGCAAGTCCTCGTTGAAAAATCTGAGACAGGCCGTCAGTCAGAAAGTGACGAAAACCCATTTCCTAGGGAGGAGAGGTCCAACGGTGCGAAATTAAATGGACATCAATTTGTCTTTGGCAAGAAACTTTCGAAAAATTAATTGAGGGATATCGCACGTTGACGAGATTTATCCCTTCTCGAAGTTTCTCGCGTTGGCATCTAGAAAACTGAAAAAGTTGAATTTTGTTAATCTTGTACATAACGGGTTAAAAGGAAAAAGTATCATATGCCAGAAATATATAAAAGCGGGTAATCTTAGAAGCAAAATCATCCACGTCGATATATTACATTTTATTGTTATTGAGTCAGGTTTTGTGTATGTACCAAATTTCGATGGAACCAAATGTTTTACGTCAAATTTAGTCAAATTAATATCCATTTGTTGTATAATACACCGGCTCTTCCACCTTTATTCTATCGAATAGACGAAATGATCATTTTCAAAAGGTATTCGTACTAATTTGTTGAAATTGGTCAAAATTAAAAGAGGAAAAGACCCGGACTGCGTCCTCGTGAGAATTCCTGCCTTTCTCGTCTCTAAAGGCGCTTAATTAATTCAAGCGCAAAGTAACCGGGAATTTAGCCCTGCCTCCATTAAAACACAATTTGTCTAATTGTAAGATATAACCTCGTGCGAACCTTCCGACCTTTTCCCGCAGGAGTCGAGGAAAGGATAATTCTTTCCCAACTAATTGTAGTTATAACTCCGCGAGGCTCATTTACAACTTTTCGCGTTTTTTCTCTACTTCCCAACTTCCTTTTCTCGTTAAAAACGGCACTCTTCTCTATGGAATAATAAATAGTCGCAGTTGGAAAATTCCGCGAAGGAATGATTTCATTGGAATCAAGATGCGGAAAAGTTAATAATTTATTTGATGCAAATTTCTCCTTAGTAATTGAAAAGAATAGTACAATTTCGTATTCGATATGATTATAAAAAATTCCTTCATTACTAATTTCATCTTATCCCATTATTTTTTCATTATTTGGTAATGATATATAATTATTACTAAGAATCACCCTTGATCGAGTACTAATTCTGATCTCATTTTTCTAACAAAGGATTTTTACATTTATTATTTAATGAACCGCATGACCGGAGACCCGTCTGAGTTTGGTGGATTTCAATAATTATCTTTGAAACAAATGTATAACCGCCGAACCAGCATGACCGATCAACTAAAGGATATAAAACCATCGGTCTGATCATCCGGAGAAATTGGTAAAAAGGAAGTCGAATACTGACCGTCAGGGGATCTACCATACTATTCTGGCTTATAGGTTTCCCCTCACCAAAAAAAAAGGAGATGTGGCGTATAAGTGTCAGTAAACCAGTGCGAGGAATTGCGCTCCCTAGAATAAAGAAAGGGCAGGCACGGTTAAAAATTGTAGAATAACTCGCAGTGAGCAAATATGTTTGTTGCAATATGGAGTATTCAAGACCCACCGAAGTAGCACTAGGTCTTTCAGTATTATAAATATTGACTGCGTGATAAGTGGCAGTCATTGGCAAAATATCAAAACCTTGGTGAATACCCGATTTTTTGAATGTATTTATTTGCGTGAGTGTTTAAGTTTGAATAGACACCGAGAGAATAGAATACCGAGTATTCACGACCTGCCGAACAAATCAAGTTAATTAGGATAGTGAATGCGTGAGTTTTACATTGCTCGAATATTGTTTTGAGTGACACAATTTTATTTGTAGGGGTGGGGTTTCAGCAGTTGAGAACACTTAATTCTTTACCTTCAAATTTAGATTTGCTGATCGTTCGAATAGTATGAATGATTTTAATTGAAAAATTAAACTTTAAAGATAAAGCGGTTAAAAAAATGCAAGATAGAATTTGATGGAGAGGTAATGGCTCCAGCAGGTAGCTAATACTAATTCCTTAATCACAATTCCAAATACTAAATACATTAGAAAACAGGACCAGTCAAACCACTTAGGAGGATATGTTTTGATAGAACTTATTTAACTTTTTAAACACTTGATCTGTGTAATAATTAAATATGCCAAGTGGAAAGTGTCTTCTTGTTACAATTCACACTGCTGGTTTGAATTACGAGCGTATTCATTCCTAGTCTTATTGTTAGTTTGATTATGCTTCAGATATTGTGTGAACCTCTTTGTTTGAGAATGTAGACAAAGGAATGAGGGAAGGATTTATCGAAAGGTCCAAATCAATGAACGCTATCAATATGATTTTATTAAATACCACAGATTTCTCGATAATATGATTAACGGCTGAAAATAGTCGCTCCAGAACACCACCCGGCTTTTCCAAATTTAAATTTTACGAGAGGTCCATATTTTGTGCTATTTTCAAACCCTTAAGTGCGTTCTTCAATATGTTGAATTAATTAAATAGCGGACAAACAAAAAAAAAAAATTCAATAGCAATGCTGAATTAAGTAGAAAGTAGTGGAGATGTGTTATTCCTTTGACGAAAATAGACTTATTTGCATTTTATAATGTATTAATCGATTTGGAATTTAATGGTTCTGACCTGCATCACGGGGCACGTTTCCAAACTCGGGTTGTTAAATTTCTAATGCCGCCGGGGTAAAATAGTTTTATTGACGTATCAGAAACAACAAGTAGCGGTTCTTCGAAAGCACACATTTCTTTCAGATTTATACTTCTTGCGAACTTGGGCTATCCGCCTATCTAATCCATTTCTCTGGCGGTCTTCTAGGGGAAAAACGTGAATTAACTCCATCTGGGGATAATGTATGCGAAACGCTGTAAATTTTCTGTATTCAGCATACTTCAAAATACAGTGGCAATTTCAATAAACAGAGGGCGTCGGTGGCCGCAATGGTTTAGGCGTTAATTCGGCTCTCATCACTGTAAGGTACATGTCCCGGGTTCGAATCCAGTGGCCCTACATTAGGTCACGACATACTTACAATTGGGCTTTTTTCAAAAACACCGGCACCCTGAGGGTTGATATGACTTTTGCTGATGCGAACCCTGGCAGACACCCTGTAGAACTGGAATTACTTTAATTTAATTTGAAAACTTATTTTAAAGGTGATGAAGCAACAATAAGTACCCGTTCGAATACCACATGAATATTTTGGGAGCTAAAATGACAAAGCTGTTCCAATCACAGAATAGATTCATAATAATACCGGGGTGGCCGCAACGGTTTAAGCATTGTAACAGCGTCCCGACATTCTTACATATGGGTATTTTTGTACCAACGGCACCTTGAGGGTTGATATGACCCTCGTTAAAAAAAAAATTGTAAAAATGGGGGGATTGGCCGGTTATGTTATATTTATATAGAGAAAACTCTTTGTTTAAACTAGTTTTCATTTTTTTGGAGCACTTTTCATATATAAATACTTCACATTTGTTAAATCGATACTAGGATAATTTCAAAATTGAAATGTACCAAGTAACAAAGGTGTTGAGTGAATGAATTTCCATTCTCCATAAAGTTTAATTTACTTTTATTACCAGCAATATATACTTTATATTATCTTATGTATCCTATATACATTTTACAAGAGTTCAACGTTTATTCTACTATGTAAAGTAGTCTGAATTGATTTGTTAGTTAAAGTTGAGTAAAATGCTTTTACTTGAGTAAAAAGACTAGTAGAAGTAACAGGCTTGCGTATATGCTGAACTTACAGAAATCATCAACGATAAAAATGCATATTTCAAGTTAGGAAAATTTAAACTTGCTCCTTTACAGCCGACTTTGAATTAACTTTTAAACAAAATAACAGGTATGCGGTAGCGTTCTAAGGGAGAAGCGTAATTTTCTATATGGTTACTTGAACGCAAACATTTGTATTCCGTTGAGATATTCGTTGGAGTTGGTC